CTAACTTACTAATACTGAGTCTGGGGTTACATAAGCAGTAACAAAACAAAAACAGTTTCTGTTTCTAAGTCTCAGCAATGAGTAAGGTTGTATTTCTGGTGTAAGCGAACTAACATTTGTTTTCTGTGAAATGCGCGAAATGTTGTATTACACAGTCTGTGGTACCATGATGCAGCACAATTCACTGTTGCATGTTAAACCACAGAAGATGTAGAGGAAAATGAATGTAATGGCTGAGGTGGAGGACCTGTAATGACACCAGAAAATAAGAAAATGTGTAAAAGCTTTATTAAAAGTTTAGTCCTGAAATTCTCATGGTAATCCAGGGAAGCAGGTTGGTGCATGGTCAGGGAACAGGCGTGGGTCAGGGCCAGATAAACAGCAGGTTCCATCCCAGCTCCAACCAGAGAGTGCTGCTGTTGTGTCCTTGGGCAAGACACTTAACCAACTTTGCCTGCTGTTGGTGGTCGGAGGGACCGGTGGTGCCAGTGTTCAGCAGGCCCGCCTCTTGTCAGTGTGCCCCAGGGCAGCTGTAGCTACTATCTGGCTTATCACCACTGTAAGCATGTGAAAAGGGTGTGGCTGTTGTGTAAAGTGCTTTGTAGGCCTTGGACTTGATAAATTTCAATAAATGTGCAAGCCAATTACAATTTTTTTCAATTTGTAGGTGTTTCCCATTTGCTGTATAACCAAATACAACTTTTTCTGTGTTTTTTGTTGTATTTCTTTAGACTGGTTCCATCCGAGAAGTTACGAGAAACCTTATGGATTTACTGAATGCTCATCTACAAGCAGAGGGCCCGCAACAAACACCAACTGTGCCACAGCGCACAACACCAGCGACAACACCTTAACAGACTATCCCTCGGTCTACAGTTCATCAAGAAATGTCAAGGTAAGTTAAGTGTAGAAATGTAAATATTTGACATCTGCATTGGTCTATTCAGTGGTTTGAAATTAAATTATTCCAATGATGCTTTATTATTCATCTTAGAAAGAGGCTTTCTGCAATTGACTGTATTTTTTTTTTTTTACATAGTGAAATTAAATTCTGAAATAATGTAAGCAGTGTAGTATAGGCTACAGCTAGGGCTGGGCAATATATAGATATTTTAAAATTATAAATATAATTTTAAACGAGAAACAAGATGACTTTGTATTGATATAACTAGTCAAGCCACATAAGCTAGCAACTAGCTTGCTCCGTCTCTAAGCGGTCATTTCATGTATTCTCACAAATCTGCTCAATCAGAAAACCTCTGGGTCAATGTTCTGCCCTAAACTTTGCATTTGGCTTCATGGTTTTTAATTATTTGGGGATATTCGTTCATGTTTCATCAAGCCTGTTCACCGTGGTTACCAACGGAGTTCTGTTTACCCCTCCCTCCCTTGTGTAATTGGGAAACCACTACAGAGAGCCGGAGTGGCCAAATTACCTCAAACATGTTGTAATGGCTTCAACTGTAAACGTTAGGGTTATCATTTAATTTTGAAGGTGAGTTCAGCGCTAAAAGTTTTTCTGGTTCCGTTTTTTGATGCTTTGCTATGGTCGGGGCTCAGCCACGTGAGTTCGGAATAGAACGGGTGGTTTCTTGTTCACATGTGATTCCCAGGGCTTCTCAGGAATGCGGAAATCCCCGAGCATGTGGGCGGCGGTAAAGACGCGCGGAAGAAGTCTGCGGTGTCCGCCTATGCTAAACAATAATTCCTCATCAAACCGCTGCACCAGCACACACTGCGCTTCTCTAATAATCTGCTCTCCTCTAATCCTTCCTACTTCAGCGCTGTAGTGTCCTCCGCTGCAGACGTGTCCTTATAACCGCTGCTACACACACACACTGCTGTCCTCCTCTGCTGCGGAGCGGGTGACAGCAGCTCAGTGCTTCATGTGGGCTAAACAGCAACCAGGATGAAAAGTAATCGCATATGCGGAAACCCCCCGGTGTTTGATCCAACTCCCCAATAGGAGGCGGTAGGTGTGAGTTTCAGCTGCCAATCAGTCCATAGTGTCTGCTCGGCACCAGCCGGACCTCCGAGGGAAGTAGTCTGGAAAAAAAAGTCTCCTTAGAACGAAATACACACATGTGAGCCATATGCGAACAAAACATTTGGTTCCGAACGCATCCATGCCGACCCAGATGTGAAAGCGGCTTAAGTGAGGGAAAATACTAACATGGGACGACTGTGAGAATAAGGAGTAAAATAGTTTAGTTTTAAAAATAGTTTCCAGCTCAAAACAGGAGACTTGACAGGTGTGATCCTGGAATTGTGGATGAAGTCTGTCAGTGAAGCTCTTGGGATCACAGCTCCACCTCTCAGTTCAGACTCCACAGAGCTCCTAGTGTGTGAGTTCTTGTTCTCTTCTGTACTTTTAACGTTAACGCAGGAGAGTGTTTGCTGTTGTATTTCAGTTATAATGTGAACAACCACACAAAACATTAAATTTACTCAAAAATTCTGAATGGATTTTTAAGACCTGCCGTGTGAACGTAGCCTTAAGCCTGATTCATGCTTCTCCGTCTGCGTCAGTGCGGAGACACGCGACGTCCTTGCGTGCCTGCCGGAGAGCTCCGCAAGGACGGACGGAGTAAAGCTCTCTTTTCTAAACAGCCGTCAGTCGAGACAGACAACGCAAGCTTGTGATTGGTCAGGATGCCGCTGTTGTTTACAGCGCCGCCATTGCACCCTCAAAAACATAAAGAGAGCCGAGGATAACAAGCAGCAGACACGGAGCAGCTTGAAGAATACCTCGCGAAAAAACTCTAAAAACATGAACTTTTAGTTCCCCCGTGACTGGAGGAGAGAGAAGATGCGCAGCAAGCGTTTTATTTGTGGACGGAAATGACAGGAAACGTGGGTTTAGAGGTGGCGAGCGCATGAAGAGGTGGAGGAGAATGAGAGACAAATATGTCCGTGTTAAAAGTCTCTTATATACACAAAAAATACAATATAAACACATTATCTTGGACCAATACACGACAGGATACCACAGAACAGCGCTACGCCCTCTGTTGTCCTGCCGAGGAATTGCTTTGCAACACTCTCCAGGAGACGGAGAAGTATGAGAGCAAAACACTTCCGTCAATCCGTGCGTGTCTGTCCCTTGCGGAGCTGACGGAGAAGCATGAACCAGGCTTTAGACAGCATGTTTCTCTGTACATAAGCCGTACCATAGACATCATTGGCTGCTGGAGAGTAACTGCTTCACCGCCATATTGAGTAGGTTTCTAACTCCAAAACCCAATTTGAATCCAGTCATTGGAGCAACTATGCCTGTTTTTGTGCAGCTCACAGTTCCAACAACCAGCAGTTACATCTGCCTGTAAGCTTTGTTTGTTAATAAAGTTATATAAAAATAAAAAAAACTGTTACGTCACGATCTCCTTGCTTTCTACAGGAAGTTAAAAAAATTATTTCAATAAAGATTGAAACACAAACATGAAGCTAAATGAGGAGCTCTATGAACATACTGAACGCCGCTTTAAAAGATACTGAATGTGAAATATGGCATTTCTCTACTGCTGACTGATGAAAGGGAGTCCGATGTGCCTGTTGTCATTTTGCAGGAGGTTGAACGATCTGACAAGGTAGTTAGCCCGTAAAAAAATTGTGCTGCAACACTCCCAGTGCTTTTTTTGGTGGCCTTTACGGCTATTCATTGGTAGGCTCATCACGGAACACAAAAATGTAGCTTGTTTGTTATGATTTAGGTACGTACTGCCCCCTAGTGGCAGAAAACTACAGACTGTCGCGTAAAGAAATAGCATAAAATGGCCAGGGATGCAATTCAATATATATTCTCTTCTACGGTTTTAAAATTTTGAAATAGTTATCTATCGATCGATTAGATTTTTTTAAATTAATATGCTTTTATTCATCAACCAGCCCTAAAACCTACTAAAGGTTAAACATTTTAAATTGCAAACTGTACTTAATTACGGTGATGCAAGTAAATGACAATTACACCCCTGCAAAATAGTAAAAGTTCTAAATCAAAACCATTTTGAATTTTTGTTATTCTTGTCCCTGCTATTTGTAATTTTTTTTAAATCTAATTTTGACATATAGTAATCCTGCACAACAATGTGATAATTTGGTTTCTATTAAAATTTAGGAAATTTTGCTTATTTGTTGACAAATTGCAGCTCAATATAGAAACATCATCATTGTTCTCTTGTTGTAATGTCAGGATTTCCAAGAGCCAGACATCGACTGGGATGTTGCTGCAGAGTACAGCCCAGATGTGGACGGTGCTGCTGTGGTCCCGGAGTTCGACAGTCCCCTCACTGAAGAGCAGCATGCTGAACTGCATCCATGCTTTCGTTCTTTTTTAAACACAGAAACAGTTTTGTTTACCTGTTAGTAGCTACAGTTTCGCCGACGGCTGCCGGCTTCTTCAGGCTGACGCTGTTGGTGGCGCGTCACTTCCTTCTCCGTTTATCTGCGGGCAGTTGTCTCTGCTGCCCGCAGATAAACGGAGAAGGAAGTGACGCGCCACCAACAGCGTCAGCCTGAAGAAGCCGGCAGCCGTCGGCGAAACTGTAGCTACTAACAGGTAAACAAAACTGTTTCTGTGTTTAAAAAAGAACGAAAGCATGGATTTAGAAAGACACAGCAAGAACACACCTAAGATGCTGAACTGCAGTTGCTACTGGCACAAAATTGGGAGCGTTCAAACACTAAGGAACTTTTATCTATTGTGCAGAGAATATGTTAATGCTGCTTTGTCAGATTAATGTGTACTTGAAATAAAAAATCAAGAGATCAGTTCCAGTGCTTTTATTAATGTTACAAAAGAAATACATAACATGTATTTGAAATGGCAATAAGCCTAACTTTATGGATTCATGTAACAATGTCGCTTTCTAGCTCCAAAACATTACATTATTTAACAAAACCATTTGTCTTTTTGGATTCAAAGTTAAATTTGAACCATTATACAGTAACCTGAACCCAGAACAGTGGCCATCTTGTTTTCACTTAATGTCTGCTAAAATCAAATCTATCACAGACTGCCTGAGTAAGCTGACTTTCAAAGTCAGTGTATGTAGTAACGTGCCATGTAGGTAAGGTGATTAAGTGTGGTCCATACCGGGTGGTACTGTCGTGATCAACATTTAGTTATCTTGTAAAATTCTCTTTCTGTGTCTGTTAGTGGCAAATGTGCCTGGCCTGAAACCCACTGAAAAAAATCCTTGCACTGACAACTGCTTTGCTCCACAGCCATCTGATGGGCTCCCATCTTGGTCATCTGTTCCTGAAGGGTGAAAAAAAAATCAGTGTGTCACTAACATGATTGAGGTACTGATTACCTCTCTGTAATTAAGGTGTAATGGCTAAATCAGTTTCAAAACAAATATATTTATAATTTATTTTTAAAATTTTTTTATTTGATGGGGGATTGAGTGAAACACAATGGTCTCTCTGACACTTCAAAATTTTCTCAATCAATCAATTTTTATTTATGTAACACCTTCCACTGCCTTTGCAGGAGCCCAAGGCACTGAACATAACAATTTTAAAAAGAGCTAAGCATTATGAGCAGTAAAAGTGGAATAATCCTGCATGGTTCTGTGGCTACCTCCTTCTTCCAGGTTTTGCAAGAGGTCCTGCAAAAAGTTGATCATGTCCACTTCCTTTGTGTCTTACTGATCCATTGTCACTGTACTGAGGAGCCAGTGCCTCCACAACGAAGTCTGCATCCACCTACAAAAGACGTTTTTAAAAATACTGTGAATTAAAAAGATAAAACTGTTAGGGCTGCTTCTGCTTATCCTGCAGAGCTAAATTAATATAAGAAAATGAAGATGTATACCACTAAAAAATATGTAAAACTTCATTGCCATGATATTAGAATAAAAAATACATCTGATAGCTTCCTTAAAGAAAACTTAAAATTGATGTCTGTAAAAAAAATGATAGCTGTAAAAAATAAATTGGGGCAAACATTGTTAAACAAACAGATTATTGTACTTGTGAATCGATTTGATTCTTAGTATTTTTATAAGAATCGATTAGAACTGTTGATGGAACAAAAACAGCTTCAGCTTCTCTGCATTTCCTATATGTTTTTGTAATGGACATATTTTTTTTGCAGAGGCCTAAAGAATTTGTACTTACCTGTTTAAGGTTCCCAGGAAGAAAGAGGGGCTGAAGTGCCTGGTGGTGTTGTGGCAACAGCTCATCCAAACCCTAGATGGCCAGTCCTTCTCTAAGCTGACTTAGCATCGGTATGAGTCTCATCACCGAATGCAAACTGATGGCCCTAGTAAAAAGAATAATGAACTTGTAATAACTCAATTTTCAAAAATTGCATGACTTGTTTAATGCTACATTAACATAGCCTACTCAATGATGGCCCTTTTGCAATTGCTGTGAATTGACCAGTGTAGCCACATGCTACAATGGCATCAGAAAGGTCTGTCAGTGCGTCTTCTTCGGCACGTTCGACCTTCAATCAGAAACACTTGTTAGTACAATTTACAGAAAATAAATTATTCTGTTTAATTTACCTCCTGAATCAGGTTCTGGATTGCCGTATCAGTCACCTCTGGCACATCTTCATTTGTTATTTGTCCATGACGCAAGAAATGGTAAGACCAAGTAGAAAAGAAATTCGGTGCTGGTCCTGCTTGAACCAAGCTGGTGGCAATGATCTCCCCACAGATCCTGAACACAAAACAAGCCAAGTTACACTGCAGAGCAGCATCATACTGTACATACCTGTATCTGTTTTCCTGGTAGTAAGAGATACTATATTTGGGGTTTTGCCTTTGCATGAAACTCCTTCAAATAAGTTCAACTCAAGGCCTCGCATCATTTCTATTGGGAAAAAAGAAATGACAGTTTGCCATTTTCAACTATATTCAAAGTTGGTATGTTGACATTAGCAAGGAATACATACCAGTTAGGAACTCTCGGCGTAGTGCTCCTTCATCAATGTCGTGTTCTCCAATAAAGGAAACAATTAGCTGGTTTTTGGGGGAAGCCTGCTTCTGTCTGGCCCGCTGTTTCAGACCTTTCTGGTAAAGGTCGTCCCTTGTCACATTATGTTAAAGGTTTTAGTGTTGTCAACTCTTTCTTGTAGGAACTTCAGGATGTCTGATAAGCTATTGACAACAACATTGTGTTTATTATTATTTATTTTAAAACCTACACATTAACACAAATGTTTGTAAAACTTCAAACCAGCTTAAGTGCTTGGAAGAGTCATCCACATCCAGTATGATGCTGTTCAGATGTGGAAACAAACAAAAAAAAAAGATTAAACTCTCATAACATATTGTGTACAACGTGCATGGGTAAAAACATGCACCTGTCCTCTTCCTCCTTCACCACAAAAGCTGGCATGCAGTTGTATAGACTCCTGAGTAAATTCTTATCACACAATGGACAGGAAACCTATTAAAGACATTTTTTTAAATCAGTGACCAACAATCATTGTTAAGTAAACAATAATGATTAACATGAAATGTAATTAAAATATTCTGTATATTGCTAACGTGCATGTTTGAAGTTTGATTTAAAGGGATATTCCACCCTAAGTGAAAATTTGTCTACTGTCTAAATTGGCTCCTGCAAATGTGTTACTTCTTACTTTTCATTTGCAGTCAACATGATTATTGAGCTCAACAGGAATAACTGGTATCATAATTTAGTAATTTTACAGTTTTGCACACAAAATGCTACTACCTCCCATTAAGTTACATGGTTTATTCTCATCTAAAGCAGACAGACTGCTGGCAGATAAGAATTACTGCGCTGGTTAAAACAATCCTTTTTCATTCACTTATCCAACTCTGGGGAATACGGCACTAGAAAACATTTTTGGATCTTTCCCTGACACATATCTAGCCCCTCATAACTCGATCCCCAGTTCCTGGATAAAACACCGGACATTTTATTCCATGTAGGACCCTAATCCACCTAGCTATGTGCCCCTGTTGCAATATTAAATGTGAGGAGTCGTAAAAAGTAGCATAACAAAACAATTTTATGGAATAAACTGCAGCTAGTAGCCTTGAAAAATAACTTACTTGAGCGTCTTGTTGGTTCTGGTCCATTTTGCTGGTGCAGGTGAAACTCTCGCTCCAGATCAGAGCGGGTATTAGCCAGGCTGTTAGTGCGCAGATGCGGCAGCCACACAGGAAAATCCACAGAGCGCAAAACGAGCGCACCCCAAAGAGGTTTGTTCCCGCCCAGTCCCACAAGTCTTTCTATTGGCTGAGCGGTTGCTAGGAGATTGTACTTCTAAGTTTTGAGCGAGAGCAGACAAGATCCGTGAGAGCAGGGGACAGACTTGTGGGAGGAGTTTTGATCCGTGTAGAGAAAAAGTTGTCACATGAGAAGACAATACCAGTGTAAGAAGGTTAAATCTGAGCGCAAAAACAAAGATTTGAAGGAGAACAGAGTGAATTTGAAAGAGAGCAGACATTTTGAGCGCAAGCATTACAAGTTTTGAGAGCAATAATATAAAATAGTATTCTGAAATTAAAAAGATGGTCTCTTGATATGAAATTCTGCTCTCAAATTGAAAGTTCAACTGCTCAGTTTCTGGCACTTTAATTCTTCCACGCCTCCAGAGTGCCAAAACTCCCAACAGCCGAGCGAGCAGAATCGGAAACCGAGCGCGCAGAAAGGCTGCCACACGTGCAGTGAGGCTGCCGCACCGAGCGCGCAGTGAGGCTGCCGCGCGCATGTTTTCCTCTGCCGTGTGCTCGTTGGCCAACGAGCGCACGCAGGTTTGTCACTTGTGCACATCCTTGTGCGCTCACAGACACAGTTTGCTCCCTCTCAGTGTACAAACGACCTCCTCGCCATGTATATTTTCACTCATGAGGTTCTAACCTCCACCGCGAGTCCCGTTCGCACGCGCGATGTGCACAATACGCGTGCACGGATTTTGGCTACGCTTGCACGGGTTTTGGCGGAAACCTGACACCATAGCCATGGACGTAATTTTCACTTTAGAAGTGTGGGGGGGGGGGGGGGGGGGGGTATCTTTACAGTATGCTCTAATGTTAAACAGGCTTCAACACAAACGGTTGTTTTCCGCTTGGTCCTAGAGCTCAACCAGTGTCAATTTAATATAGCGTAATATTGTTTTGGATGGTAAAAAGTGCAGGGGTCAAAACTTGATTTTGGAAAAAGTGGGGGGGGACATGTCTCCCCTGTCCCCCCTCCAAAATAACGTCCATACAATTAGCTTCCATTGCCTCCTTTTTGTGAACATGCACCCCTATCTAGTCAACAGAGCTAAAATACCTTTTATAAAAACTCTCTCTCTCTCTCTCTCTCTCTCTCTCTCTCTCTCTCTCTCTCTCTCTCTCTCTCTCTCTCTCTCTCTCTCTCTCTCTCTCTCTCTCTCTCTCTGTGTGTGTGTATAAAGATCACAAAGAACTCAGAGTAAGCTAATTTTTTGAACAGGAAACATCTCATTTCTATTTCTACGTTTCTATTTAGGAGAACGGGGATGGGGGAGGGTTTGTTTAAATGATGCAGGATAGCTTATGAGGGGTTGTGGTGGTGTGCATCCCACGTGTTTTTAAGCCACTGTAGCTCCTACTATGAAACTAGGAATGATAACTCATTTAGTTTAAGAACACCACCATGTGGATGTTTATCAGATTGCACATGTGCACGCATTAGAGGTCAACAGAATAAGAGCAGTAGGATGCAGATTTAAACTTATTCTACAAGCTTCTCTCTAGAAAACAATTTGTCCCGTTTTTAAATTTAATAAACATCTAAGGAGTAATGAAAATAAAATATATATTTTACTCCATATGATGACCCTACAAAACTCTACAAAACAAAAATAAGCTAAAAATAATGAAATTATATTAAGAAGTTGTAACAGAATGAAATGACTGTTTTCCCTCTCCTCTGCATCAGGACTAGTCTGCATGAGATATGGTCTCAAGGTCTCATGCATTCCTTCTAACCTGCTTATTTTCAGCTCAACAGAAGAATGAAGAATGAACTCTTTTCTTTTAATTAATCAAAGAACTCTATTTCAATAAAGCTAATCCATCAAAGTGTTAGTCAATAAATAAGATTTGACCGATCTGTGAAATCAGAATATTAATTACTTTAATATAATCCTACTATGACTTTAAATGTTCCAACAGGACTCATTTCACGTAGCGTTAAAAGACGACACATTACTTTCACTGATCCAATCAGAATCTGACAGATCTGACGGAGGCGTGGTTCTGATGGTGTTTGGTAATTTTTCATTCGACAATAAACCATAACATCTGAAGTATAAAACTATGCCACGTCATCTCTAACGCCAGTTCAAAGCGTTCTAGAGAAGTGTCGGAGTGGCCAATCCGTAACTTTCCTCTTTAACCAAAAGAACAACGACAAGCTGGAAAATTCATTGTTGTTCCAACTGCTGCAACAGTTCCTTTCAGAATAAAAGCTGAACCATCAAGACCCAGGCTCGAGTCTCACCAGACGCCAACAAATCGTCGTGACCTGGAAGTAACTCACAGACTGGTCTGGTCGGCACCGCTGCTTTTCCTACCGGCTCGGTTCCAGAGAAGGTCAAGCTGGACCTCGACATTTCTGATCTAAAGGGGACTTCCTGAAGGGTAGGTAGACCGGCAAATGGCGTCAAATGTGTTTATGAATCAGTTAGGATCATATTAGTAGTCCACTAATATGCGTATTAATTGGTAACTAATTAATGGTTAATTTGTGTTCCCTAAAGTGTTACCGAAAACTTTTGTCACATGTTCATAGATAGGGTGTTAAAAAAAAACACAAGTAATGTTTAACATAATTTATATTTATTTTCTTTTGAACAAAATGTTAATAAATGTATTTGTTTCACGTCCAAAAAAGATCATGACTTGTGGGACGCATTTTATAAATAATTTCATCCAAGTCTTTTGTAGAAAAAAAAGAAAGTAAAATAGCAAACTAAAGCATCTCTAGAATGACAATATGACAACTTTATCATTGTTTTTTTCTCTATATTTGTACCCTTTTCTCAGTTCAAGCTTTGTATTTTATATATAGATATAGATATAAATATATTTTAAGACCTCTTTGTCATCTCTTTGAACATCCAACTTAGTCCTACTCATTAACTCACACCACGGCTTTAGACAACATAAAATGTGGCCGAAATTTCAAAAAGGACAGAAAACAAAGAAGGCAAACAAACAAAAAAAAAAAAAACACAGTGAGATTGAAACAGGGGTTGGATTGGGGCAGAACAGGTTGATTGGGGGAAGGTTTAGGGGATCCCACACCCTCAGGACATATTTACAGCAGAAAGGACAAAAAGGGGGTAAAGGGTCGTGGTGGCGGCAACAGTGTCTTAGGAAATGTGACAGTTTGAGGCGGGGTTCATCTGCATAGATCCACAGGACTCAATCAGCGAAGAATCGAGGGAACGGAGCCAAAAGTGTGGGCCGAGCACATTTGATGCTGTCTGCAGGGGAACGTTGTTCTCATCATATTATTTTAGTTTAGAAACAAATGTGAGAAAGAAGCACTTGGTGCAGGATTATGGAAAACAAACGGGCAAAAAAATTGGGTTGGGAGCTAAAACTCTTCTTTTTATGTGACTTCAATGTAGGGAAAAAGCAAATTACCAGTTGTTATGGGAGTCGAGGCAAGGTCAACTGGGGAGTGGAAGGGCACTGGTACGATGTCATTTTTTTTTTACCACCACACACATCAGTCCGTTTTTAGCTCATCGTTAGAAAAAATAAAAAAAGGAAAGATTGAACTTAATCCTTTAACTCACTTTCAAGCTTCAGTCTAATATCTTTTTTGTCCTATCTCTTGAATAAAAAAGTAGCAATGACCCAACAGCAGGAACCATGAAAGAAAGTAAAAAAAAAAAAAGAAAAGACGAAACTAATCTAATGGATAAGCCCTTAAAACTCCACACACTCCTCGCATGCTGACTCTTTGCTAGTCCTTTTAAGACAGCAATCGATCAGCTTGTTGGTGATTTAAGAGTTAGTGGTTTGATTGATTGATTGGTCACTTGCACCAACTCTGAGATACGAAAGAGCCAAGCCATTTAAGTGAACATGACGAAAAGCAGGAGACAACCCAGGATTGCCTTACTGGCCTCACTATTTTTACACAGTCAAGAGGCACTCAAAGACCCCAGGAATCTCATTCATCAAACAAAAAACTTTTTCATGACTAGCAACATTTGAGGTTCTTGTACTCAACAATAGCAAATGGTTCCAAACTAAATTCCAAGTTGATCTTAGTCTTACAGGGTATTTGAAGGAGTTTTGTGACCTTTTAGTACTGAAGCTTTCTGATTGGTTAAGTTACTTAACAAGCAAAAGGCAGTAGAGCTAAAGCCACCCAAAGATATTGGATTCTATAAATCAATGTCATCAAATTCAACAGGGAGTTTCACAAAGCTTTCACGGCCACTTTCCTTTCACTGGTTTGCTTCCCTTGGTAAGTTCACACATTTAGTCAATTTCCCTGAGATTTGGTTTGGTGTTAAGAGGCTAAAGACTTGTTAAGAACTTGTCCTCAAGGTTTTACCAAAGACAGTTGTGTCTTTTTAACAACCTTCATCACTAGGAAGAGTTGCAAGACCGGAGTAGATCAGCCTTTATGGGTAAATGTAACCGGCCACAGAAAATGGCATCTTGAATCCAGTACTTGTAAGAGACATTAAAATGTTCCTATGTTCTGCAACCACCGTTGAGACTTGTTGGTTCATTCAATTGTGGCCTACAAACCCTCTAAAGGAAAGGCTAAACAAGGCTTAAAACTAGTCCAACAAGGTTGCAGGCTCAGTTAGGATGTCTAGGAATGTCTAGGACATCTAGGAACTTGGATTTCTTTAGAAATACGTAAGGACTCCAAGGTGCACTCTACTAAAATGATTCACAGTTATTTCCATGGCATTAACAAAGACCAGTTAAAGACATTAACGTTTTGGCATACGAGACAAAATGGGTTTCCTCTTCTATTCTAGTTTGACTTCTACAAGTAAGATTGTACCCTGGAGCCTATTTGACCTTCTAGTTTACCTCTATTCTATCCAAGGAGCACCTCAACTAGACCCACGAAGCATCCAATAATTTACATAAACTTGGTAATCTGAATTCTTTGTGTGGAGACCAGATTACACACAGGTAATGAATGAGATCCCCAGTGATCTGTCTTTTTGCAACTCTGGCATTCCCGGGTTGTTCCTTCGGTCTTACATCCAAGTCCTTATATCTGCAGTGCTGTTAAGACGAGCCAAACCACCGTATGAGGTAAACCGAACGTTTTATAAACACCAGAAATTGCCTTTTCCCATCAAAGAGCACTGCACTGTGACTAAGCTTGGTATTGACTCCTGCAACACCCTGAAAGTGTTGATAGCTGAACTGTCACCACCTTTTCCACCTCACTCCCAACTTGCTCAATGGATGAACAAGGTGGAGTAGAGCACTTAAGGTCCTAAAATGCTTAGGCATGTACCGTCGTTAAGGGGTTCAGAAAAGGTCCAGTAGGAAAAAAAAATCAAGCTGAACGTCAGGACACGGAAGAATCACACACATTTTGTTTTCAGAAAAGCAAGACCCACAACCAAGTGAAAGATGAGCTGATACTGTCAGGCCCTCAAGCAACATCACATACAACGTACTAAAGAAGACGCCTCTAAGGTGATGAAGAGTAGGATGTGGAACACAGTCGATATGTCAAAATATTCTGGCACCTGGAAAAAAGAAATTGCAGCAAAAATCTAAAGGTAATGACAAGTTGGCATGCACACGTCATCAATGTCCACTCTCTCTCTCTGACATGCCACCCATCCAGACTCTAAAAACAGGGAGGGGAAGGCTGGAGGAAGGGAAGGAAGGACGGGATGGAAAAGAAGGACGATATGCTAGAAAACATTGGATGGGGTGGAAACAATGAGCAGTTTTCAAGTGGCAAGAGGTCAGTTCTTTAATGAGGATGGTCCTAAAACATTGGTCGCGTAGTCCCAGCACCCTTAGCTCCCGCTCAAAACCTCCCACTTCCTGTGATGGGTGGTTAATTGGCAGCAGATTGTAGTGACATCTCCAGCGGATTATCCCAGCCAGCCATAACCATGCTTTGGTGCCGCCACTCTTGGTAAGCTCCAGCCTCAAATTCAACCCCGAGGTTCACTCTTCGTTTGACGTGCCCTCCTCTGGCGAGAAGATCGCAGCCACGTTCAGCAACGTAGAATTATGGGAGGCTGAAATGATGATGACAGTGTGTAAGAGGACAAGGGCGAGCAGGCAGATCTTCAGTCGCCCGCTGCACAGTCTCTGGGTGGCAGCGGAAGTAGCCGAAGCCCCCTCGGGCTGGCAGGAAGAAACAGTCTTTTTAAGTGTGCTGCCTGAAGGACTGTCCATTTTGGTGTCCCATCGGACGTCGCAGCACTCCGCCTCACTGTCTGATGGATGATCTCCCAAGAGCCCTAGGAAAGAGAGCACACTAGATAAAAATGTTGTTTTTCCCCAGCTGCGTCAACAACAAAACAAAGGGTTGTGTGTGCACTTTGATAAGAAACACCAAGGAAAGTACCTTCTTCAAGTCTAAAAATGTTTGGTCTTTTTAAGATTTGACCCCATTTTGACCAACTTTTTGTGGGTCTTTTGCATTAGGGCTAGTAATGGAAGAGCTCCCCCAAACCAGTAAAACCCAAAGAAATTAATTCCTTAATCAGTTGGTGACTGGCTTGTCAACTGGGCTGTCACCTCATCTATACAAGCGGGATCTGAACCCATCAATTAAGTTCTGTCCTTAAAAAGACAACACAACTTCTTTCATCTTTTTTAGCAACTGCTAAAGTGTAACAGTTCAGAAAGTATTAATAGTTCACGTTATATCTGCTAAGAGTTCCTGAATACTGGCATACTGCTAACTAGGCTTGAGCGGAATTACTGTATACAGCCGGTGTTATAGCAATGGTGCCAGTTCCAATGAGGATAGAAAAAATAAAAGCCAAAATAAATAAAAGAAATAAATACAAGTAATATCAAGTAAAAAAAACAGAAGCATGGTTGAATTTGAATGCTCACTCCGTCGGAACCGCAGAGGAGCGAGCCTTACCTAAAACAGCACTTTTCTGTCTGGAGCCTGTTTTAACGAAACAACGCGCTTTTCTGGTAAAAAATAAGCAGCCAGCCTTCCCCAGACGCTGCGACTAGCCCAAAAGTCCCCATGTGTTGGTGCCACAAGCTCATCGAAGCAGATTTTCAGCAGTCGGAATTTGGTTAACGTTCTGGTTTTTCTGGCGGAAAATGTTTTTAAACAGCAATTTTTAACAGTTGTTAATATTATAGGAGTTACGCTGTTATTGTTTTAGTTATAGTGTTTGTTATTCCGTTTCTGAAGGGTGAAAGTCCAAACCAACAGTTTGGTAGTCCCACTTGAGGCATACATCATCATTTTTAAATTAGTCCCGGTAATACCGTACACGGTGGTAAAACGTGGAGGAAGCTAGGCGGCATTAAAAATTGGATACAGCTCAAGCTAACCTGACATACAATGCTGAGAATATGTATCTTCTTTTGTTTTTGGTCACTTAAACCTTTCAGATCTGCATTTCAATATTAGACAAAACAGCCTAAGAAAATATAAAATGCAGATTTCTAATTATTGAATTTATTAAGAAAAAAAGCTATGCCAACAAACCTGGCCGTAAACAAAATGGTAATTGTCCCTTTGGTTGAGTCATCTCCACACAAGTTTGATCACTACTAAGCTAGAAGATCTACTAAGATTAGAAGATCATGCCTTGTTCTAAAGAGGAAACTGCAGAACACGGACGTAATTTTCACTTTAGAAGTGTGTGTGTGTGTGTGTGTGGGGGGGGGGGGGGGGGGGGCACGGGGGGTATCTTTACAGTATGCTCTAATGGGAAACAGGCTTCATCACAAACGGTTGTTTTCTGCTTGGTCCTAGAGCTCAACCAGTGTCAATTTAATATAGCATATTATTGTTTTCGGATGGTTAAAAAGTGCAGGGGTCAAAACTTAACTTTGGAAAAAGTGGTGGTGGTGGTGGTGGGGGGGGGGGGCATGCCCCCCTGTCCCCCCCCCCAAAAAATTACATTCATGCTGCAGAACATTCTGGAAGGTGTGTGTTCCGTCCCATTTGGAGTCAAACTAACACTAAAACATCGTGCAAATAATTAACCATGGTGGTGGTAGTGTGATGGTCTGGGGCTGCTACTATTTTGCTTCAGGACCTGGTCCTGTAGCTGTAAGTGATGGAACCATGAATTCTGCTCTTCAGCAGAAAATCATTGAGAAGAAAGTCTGACCTTTGAACATTAAAATGGTTTTGTAAAGAATGGAACAAATTTCCCCCACAGAGAAAGACTCATCACCAGCCACCACAAACACCAAGAGTGTTACGGTCCATTATTAAGCTCAAGGAGGCAGGATTGTACCAATCTCTATTCTTAAGCGGGACTAGATAATAGATAATTAACCATAAATAAATACATGTATAATTCAACAACATCTAAATGTCACCTCAGAATGAAAGTTGTTGCTTGTGTCTGAAGTGAACTATCTATTCACAAATGAACAATAATGTGAGAAACAAAACAAAATGAGGTTAAATAAAAGTAAAATGTCACATGAATGAAACAACCAGTAACAAAGATAAAAATTAAAAACAACAAAAGTGGGATATTCTCTGGAATACAAATTCCAAATTTTGTTCAAAGAAAAATTCTAATCTGTAATCTGAGACTTGTGCTGTGAAGATTAATGCCTACAAAAATAAATGATGCCATAAAGAAACAAACATCATCTAATATCTGAGGTTTATTCCCTGCCGTTTACAGCTGACTAAAAGTGCAGTTAATATTAAAGAAACACGACAAATCCAGTTTGATGTTTAGCACATCCTTGTGTTTTTGTGTGTTGTAGTGCACACATCAACCACTAGATGTCATCGGACAGCCTTCAGAAACACAAGCTTGTTTTTCTGGAGGGATACCATCCATTAGATGGATGAATTAATTTTATGCATCCTTTCATGAAGTGTTATTCACTATTAGAAAATTAAATTAGTTTTTTTTTTCATGAAGGGAACACAAGGCCACCAAAACGCCCACACGTGCAAACATGCAGCCCGCCTTCATCTGCCGGAGAGCGGAAGCAGCAGCAGCGCCAGGCGGCGGGCCGGTATTAACCTGTGCAGATGAAGCTGGGGTTCCCGCCGTGGATCAGGTCATCGTTGTCGGGCAGGATGAACGGGCAGCTCTGCTGGACCTCCAGGCAGTACTGGTGGCATGGTCTCTTTCTCTGACACGACTGCTGAATGCTGGGAAAATACTGAGCACAGAGCCAGGGCTTGTAGGCCATCTAAGGAGGAGGATGAGGAGAGAGAGAGAGAGAGAAATGACATAAATAGATGCAGATTCATGATCCACTTGAGGACTGGTGGAAGTTCTATGGCTCTGCTGGGTCTTAGGCATACTCCATTCATACAAATGCCAATCTGTTTTTACATAATAAATTATGATCAACTGTTTATTTACAAAAGCAAGAATTCAAATAAATCACTAAAATGAACACCCACTGTTTGATACACTGAAAGGTAAAGAGATATAGCATGGCTAGCCGCCAACTAATGGTTGGCTGAATTATATTTGAACCATTCAAGTCCAGGAGGCTAATGAGATTATAAATATGGGATTATTTACTGAATTGGGTGAAAAGTCCCGTGGACATTGCTTGTGGTGTCCCCCAGGGCTCATTATTAGTTTCAAAATTATTCATCCTGAACATTTAGGTAATGTTTAAAACATAATGATGGATTAGGCACTTAATTCAAAGATGATGGATTATTTGTTATAAACTACATGGTAATTTAGGGTAGTCTGACAGAGGTGAAGCTGCCATTTTCAGCCACCTGACATCCACTAACACAGACAAGTTGGACGAGGAGCATGGCCCAAGACACAACAGCACAATAACACAACACCATAGCAACTAAGGCCTAGTCCACACGTAGCCGGGTTTTTAAAAAAACGAATGTCCGCCCCTCCAAAAACTTGCATACACACCACCTCGTTTTTAAAAAAAAAAACTCTGTCCACATGTACCCGGATAAATACGTTGTTAAGGACATGCCAGACCTGTAGGCGGCAGTACTTCCCCCGTTCTTAACCTCGTCCTTTGCCTGTGGTCTTCCGCAAGGAGCAGTAATCCCGCTTGCAAAAACAAACAAGCAAAAAGCGCTTGGACAATTGATAAAGCGAGCGCAGCTCTGAAGGCTTCCATGATGCCGGCTAGTGTAAACACAGGTCGCACACGTGATGTCAGCATTTTTTTGTCGCAGAAAGTGACGTTGCGGACCTTAAAACTCTGGTTTTGTCTGTCCACACGCAGACACCCAAAACGGAGAAAACGCAGATCTTCACTTTGGCCGGAGTTTTTAAAAAGATCCGTTTTCGTGTGGAAAAAACTCCATTTTCGTGTGGATGACAGGCCAAAACGTAGAAAAATATCTACGTTTTGGCAGATCCCCGGCTACGTGTGGACAGGGCCAAAATTTCACATTGATGAAAAATATATGAATATAAATTTAACTGGTTGGATTAATATTCGTCCGTCCATTTTCACCCGCTTATCTGAGTTTGTATCAGGGGGTTAGCAGCTCTGACAGAAAGGCCCAAACCTCCCTTTCCTCAGAAAACTCCATCAGAACCGCCAGGCAGGATCAACAGGTGTTCCCTGGCCAACGTGGAGATATAATCCCAATCCAACGGGTCGTGGGCCTTCTGCCAGCAGGACATGCCTGAGACACCTCCCTTGGGAGGCATCCAGAGGGAATTCTCACCAAATATCCAAACGACTTCAGTTGGCTCCTCTTGACATGAAGGAGCAATGGTTCTACTCCGAGTCCCTCCCAAATGTCCAAACTCTTCCCCCTAGCTCTAAGGCTGAACCAGACCACCTGACGAAGGAAACACGTTTTTTCTGTGGAGTTCTTATTCTTTCTGTCATTACCCAGAGCTCGTGATCATAGTTGAGGGCCGGGATGAAGATTCAGAGCTTGGCATTCTGTTTTAGCTCCCTCTTCATCACAACCGCACCACGACAGATGCTGCCTCGATGTGCCTGCCAATCTCCTGCTCCCTCCTTCCTTCCTCCCTTAGATACTTCTCCAGGACCTCTGCCGTGGCCTGGAGTTGGCAGACCATGGACTTGGATGTGCCTATCATCATCTAAGCGACTTCATACTTGGTTGCAAACCTGCCACCAAACTCGACACCCTCTACCCCCCAAAGTGTTCACAAATGCAATAAACAGAACCGGTGAAAAAGGGCGGCCCGTGTGGAGCCCAACCCTCGTAGAGAACAGGTCTGACTTAATACGGACCACCAGACTCACACTCTCTGTAGAGACTGAACGTTATGTAGTTTACATATTTAAAATCAAACTTCCAACATTCTTAAATCTCTTTTTCTATGATATAAAGTAGCTAATCTTTCATAATTTATAATTTCCCTGAGTCCGACCCCTGGCCTCTACAGCAAAACGCAACCCTAGAGCGCTGACCAATAGATTTCTGTATCCACAAGAGAGAGCTGGCAATCAACCAGAGTACACACATGCTCTACATGGTGACACGACTGACTGCATGTATAAAATGTATGAACCCTCTGTGCCATCACCCATGGGTTTTTGAATTGAAGCCCAATGGGCGGTTCCCACCACCGCCATTTTGGTTGTGTCACATGTCTCATCACTCCTGGAAAATACAAACATGGAGCCGAGAGTGGTGCTGTGAAGGTGTGGGCAGATGATTTACGGCCATCAAACTCTTGAGTCGATGTAGCTGTGAGCTAACTGAAGCTAACAATGATCGGCAGGCTCTTTTAGTCAGAAAACCGTGGTTGAGCGACTTCGCCACCCTCTGCCTTCTAGGCTGTAACACTTTTAGCATAAGATCGAGGACCTCCCTGAAGCAAGCGGGAGGTAAATTATTCATAATCTCATGCTTTAATTACATTTAAATGGATAAGTAAAAAAAAAGCAGAGCTGTCATGAACGTACCCCCCCTACCTAAATCTTACCCCACTCACATTTCAAGTTTGAAAAATATTGCCGTTAAACCGGATAACCGATATTTACCAATATTACACTAACACTGGTAGGGATGGAAAAAATAAATAATTTAAAGGATGAATATGGAACACGAACACCAAAGCGACATCTGGTGTGTGGAGGTTGTAGTTGCAACAATAGAACAAGGTTTCCAGCCGTTGGGATAACGGGTTCGCTGCTGATACGTGACATTTCTTATTTGGGTCCTTCTGTTGTAGGCGTTTTAGATCTGTTATGGTCGCTCTGACATAACTCTCTGAGAAAGTTAACATCTTCTGGGCTCAGAGGAAGCTGCCTAACTTGCCGAGTTTGAAGTTTTCCACAGTACCGCTCTTGCTGTACCGTATTTGGCAACCAACAATGGTGCCCTCTATTGGCTGGTAGATGTAAAATGGTAAATGGTCTGTATTTGATATAGCGCCTTCTAGGGTCCTGGAACCCCCCAAGGCGCTTTACAACACAATCAGTCATTCACCCATTCACACACACATTCACACACTGGTGGTGATGAGCTACGATGTAGCCACAGCTGCCCTGGGGAGCAATGACAGAGGCGAGGCTGCCGACACTGGCGCCGCCGGTCCCTCCGACCACCACCAGCAGGCAACGTGGGTTAAGTGTCTTGCCCAAGGACACAACGACAGCGACAGACTGAGTGGGGCTTGAACCTGCAACCTTCCAATTACGAGGCGAGGACTTAACTCCTTTGCCACCGTCGCCCAACAATAATGTAAACATAAACCCAGTACTGTGCTCGTCAAAATAAATGTTTGGCAAAATTTAGAATTAAAATATAGCTTTTAAAGGAAATATACCTTCATTCTGCACACCTGTAAACGCCCCATTGACCTCTTTAAAAAAATGTGTAGCTTTTTATTAAATTGTTGCACATTCAACCAATAAAAATTGTGATATTTCAAGCTCTGATACTGAATTAATATTTAAAATCAGTGTATACATATTCTGTTGAGGATTTGCATGTAAATCTTTACTGTATTTGTATGGTGCAATTATAACTACGCCTTCATTCTGACAGAACAATTAAAGTGACAGTGTGTATTTTTCTGGCGATCGGAGGCAGTAGATACCTAAATCGTTGCAAGCAAGCAGTGTTTTTGTGTTGGATGGAGTAAGACCTTTCCTATGGATGCTCATTAGGGTCAAAAAGCCCTGGAGACTGCAAAGTAGGGCTGCAGCTATCGAATATTTTTGTAATCGAGTACTCTATCGAATATTTTTTTCGATTAATCGAGTACTCTAATAAATTACCCTTTTGTGTTTGTAAACCATTATATCATATATTGATGAGGCAAGATGGCGTCGAGTATGGCTGCCTCGTCGCGAGCTCCACCAAGTTCCAACATTACACACTCCATACTGTACATTAATGCCACTGTTTTGCACATACCAACCTCTGTACATTTTATATCTCTTATCTTGTTTACTTTATTCATTTGTATACTTAGATTAGCCATTTTTATATTTTACTTGTTTTTACATTACTGTATTTTTGCACAACTCTGTTGCTGTGAAGCTCGCACACAAGAATTTCACTCGCATGTACTGTACCAGTGTACCTGCACATGTGACGTGACAATAAAAGTGATTTGATATCAAATAGCATGTTATAATTATGAAAGACCTCTAAAAATGAGCAAGCAATTGCCAGTTATTCTTCAAGTTTTATTCAAAATTAGTTTGCATAACTTCAGCACTTCAACTTTACTTCACAGTAAACAAATGCCTGTGCAAAAAATAAGTAAACAACCTGGGCTGATTTTCCCCTCGTGTGAGAATCTGCTAGCCTGCAAGCCAGACAAAAACTAGGAGGATAACGCTGCGAGTGGCTGCGGCCCAAACAGAACCAGAACCGCTCACGGCGCAAACAGCTCGCCGGCTGTTTCCCTATTAACGGACGTCCGTTTTTATTTCTACACTTTTTTTTCTCACACTAACAAGGATTGCCAAAAGCATGTTTGCTGTGGTTTTGTCAAATTATACTGATCACAAAACATTTATTTACTTTCTTTCGTTTTCCTCCGCCACTCATAAAGACCCGTGTCCTCCTGCAGAAACCCCGAGGGACAACAGACATCAATAACACAATAGAAAGTCCGACATATTGTGTAAAAACTGCTATTTTTAGCACATTTTAAGTCCGACGTGTTGCTACCAGATGTACGGTGTGAGCTGAAACTGAGTGCTACAAACGAAAAAGTCGCAGTGTCCGCAGAATATATAGAAAAACA